GTATACGCCGGTGGAAAATGAAACCATATCTCTTCCTCACCACGTTGTATACTGTCGGGTAGATCGCTAGTCATGGTCTGAAGCCACAAATGGGTCAAATTAGTATCTCCACCCGGATGCTGTACTCTCAGCCATGGCCCGAAGCAGGTTTCCTCAAACAATTTTCTTTATGCAGGTGAAAGCTTCGAAGCAATTGTAGTGGCTATGCTAACTTTATTCCTTAATGTCAATGAAGCCGAAAAAAATTTCTACAAAAACAATAAACATACCAAGTTAGATATACCAAAAACTACACTGTCAAGATATACCAAAAACAATAAACATAAATAGTAGTTTATTCTTGAAACTAAAATTTGCAACACTGTTTTGTCTTTTGGTTGAAATGAAAATCGCAACGAGATAATGAGAATCGCAACGCGGAAATGACTATCGCAACGAGAGAATCGCAACGCGAAATGACTATCGTAACGAGAGAATCGCAACACGAAATGAAAATCGCAACGCGAAATGAAAATCGCAACGCGAAATGAAAATCGCAATGCGATTTTGGTTTCGCGTTGCGATTTTTATTTCGCGTTGCGATTCTCTCGTTGCGATAGTTATTTCCGCGTTGCGATTTTCATTCTCGAAACTATTCTTCTTCTGCATTACTTCAACCAAAATACAAAACAAAGACAAATACTAACTTCACAGGCTAAACAGTTTAGCAGTATTGGCAGCAATCGAATGAATTTAATAAGAAATCTAAGTGAAATGGTTAATCTATTATTGAAATTACCAGAAAACTTATCATCAATCTCAATATGAAAAAACCTAAAATAATGCAAAAATTTCAACAACAAAAAAAAACTAACCATCGGAGGTTGATTTTCCATTTCTGAATGATTGTGAGGGATTTTTGACTGTGAATGGTTGTGAGGGATTTCGCCGGCGATGGGGACGGAAATCTTCAGAGATGGGGACAGATTTCGCCGTAGAGATTGAGAGATGGAGATGGGACTGAGTGTTGTGATTTTGGGTTTGCGTTTATGAGTTGCGATTACTGTGGACGGTTCAGTTTCTGATTTATTAAGAAAAAATTCGTGTTTGGAATTTGAAAACAAAAATACGCGTTAATACGAATGGCGCTATGTAAATCGCATTGCGATAGTAAGATTCGCATTGCGATTTACGTATTCGCATTGCGATTTTCCTAATTAGCATTGCGATTTACTAATTCGCGTTGCGATTTACGTATTCGCATTGCGAATTATCAAAATCGCAACGCGAATACGTAAATCGCAATGCGAATTAGGAAAATCGCATTGCGATAGTCAGTATCGCATTGTGATTTTCCAAATTCGCATTGCGATTTACTTATTCGCATTGCGAATTGGGAAAATCGCAACGACACTGTAGACCATCGCAACGCGAAATGCAACGCGAATTTGCGATAATGGAGATCGCGTTGCGAATTAGCGATCGCATTGCGATTTTGTTGGTCATTTTGGCAAATCCGGAAAAAGTTGGTTAAAATCGTATATTATATGAGATTTTTGGTCACTGAGGTTATTTTCTCTTTATGTTTTCTAGAAGATCGGTGTTTTTGTTTTGTTTGCTTTGTTATCTTCTTTGTGCTTTAAAGGAAACTAGAATTTTGCTTTATGTTATAGGAGGTTTAAAAGCCTTACAATGAGAAGGGATTACTTTATCATGATAGACATGGTTATACCTTCGCCAAATATCCTTCGCGTATCATTTGTCTCCGCACCTCAAAGCCCTTAGAGAAGGAATTTTTTTGTAAGTAGGATCCGAGAAAAGTATATCTGAAAAAATAACGTCAAAAATTACGAGAACTTCTGTAGAAGAAGGCTCTCAAATAACTAACATCTATGAGAAAGTCGTAACTTGTTGACACGACTTTTGACATATTAACGTGACCAAATCTATCACCATCTAATCATTTCCACCTAGCCGTCTGATGGTAATAATGATTTTATACCTGACACCAACTTCAAGAGTTACTATAAAACATCTTAACCAAGAATGAGATAAAGGATGAAACTCAAAATGAAATCATCTCACCCTCACTCATTTTTCTTCTATCTCCTAATAAAAACAAAATACTTTGAACTAATCAATAATCCATCTATCACTGACTACGGTTCTTTTCCTAACTTAAAAGGTGTTGACCATTTATAACTTTTGCTGTCTAATTGTTCTCATCAGTGTGATTTAAAAAAAATCAAATGTGTAATAAAAAACACAAAAAAAGAAGAAGATAGATTAAACGATCAAACTAAAATTTTAATATCTTCATATCTATTTTTCTTTTCCAAACGCCCTTTCTAATCAAGAAAACTTGTCAAAGCAAGTTTCTCAGTGGCCTTTAATATGGACAAATGTAAAATAACTTGAGCTTGTTTCATTAGTAAAATTCCCTAATCTTGCTATCACTTCTTTTATTCTTATTAATTTCTTTTGCGCTTTCAACAGACAATGACTACATCTGTTTTTTTTTATAATTTAAGAAATTAAAAAGATAACTAATTTTTAAAAAGAATATTCAACTTCAAGTTTGCTAGTACAAAACCATGTGATTAGATACTAAAATTTGACAAAACAACGACACGAACAAATGAGGTTGTTTACTTTAATGCTTGTACATGCAAATGAGATGGTTTTGTACATGCAAATGAGATGGTTTTGTACCTGAAATGTATATTTCCCCTACCTAAGCCCACCATCAATGCTTAAATCTTTTGATTTTATTTTTAATAAACAATGTTATCACTTTAACCCTATGATGGTATATATCTGAAAAGCATGCTCATATTTTGACATTTGTGGTATGATATTAAAGTTACAAAGCAGTTAAGCATTGGTTGGGAATTACTTTATAGATTTGGGTCATAATCTCGTCTCTTTATTTGTTGTTATCGTTCCAAACAAGCAACTAATCATGCCATTGTTACGCACACCTAAATTAATACCAACACGAGAGAAAATACAGGTAAACCACTCATTGCTTTGCTGTTTCCCACTTTGAATCTCACTCCATATTTCATCCACATGTCTTGCAACCAAAGTTTCTTTTTCGATGAGTATATATAACTTATCAATGATAACAAGAAGCAAATTCCTACTTCCACATATAAGTTCAATAAAACAAGATAAAAGTGAGCATATATTTATTAATCTTGTCTTAAGTGGTTAAATAGAGTGTTATTTTTTCTTAAGATCATAAGTTTGAACAGTTATCGATAGGATGTGTATGATGTTAATGATTAATAAAAGATTACGAATATATAATACCTTATAATTATCTCATGCTATTAAAAAAAGTATATATTCGTTAGTTTTTCTTTTTTATAGGGTTGTTCATAATCATAATTTTTATACTATTTTTCATCTTGGTGAAAGAACATTTTTTTATAATAGTTTGGGTGATTATAAGATAGTTTTTGTTTAGAATTTTTTTTAGTCATTGATAATGCACACACATTCTGCAGAAACAACTATTCAAACCCGATACCTCTAGGAAGAATAACACTCCAAAATATGTATTCATTAATTTTTATTTTTTTAATAGGGTTCATAATCGCAATTTTTTATACTATTTTTTCATCATAGTAAAAGAAGATTTTTTTTATATAGTTTGAGTGATTATAAGGTAGTTTTTGTTTAGAATTTTTCTTAGTAATTGATAATGCACACACACTACAGACATAGCTACTCGAACTCAAAACCTTTAGGGTAAACAACACTCTCTTTTTAGACTAAATCGCTTGATGAATTCGCAAATATTTGTAGTTAAATGTTCACTATGATCCAATTTTCTGCCATTTTATAATTTAGATGCAGGAACGGTGGTGACTTAGTTCTGAACTTTCTGTTCAGTTGGGAGGTATAGGCATACACTATATGCTTTGTTGGTTTAAATGTGCATTTTTAATTTTGTTAATTGATTCCTAAGTCATTCCACTAACATTCTTACCAACTTAGGACACATGATCTTGTGTTTGACCCTTGTATCTAACCTAGTACCCACAACACTTTTAATTTTGGTTTTTAATATATATATATACACACAAGTGGCTAAAACTCAGCATAGGGCATGGTTTCCTTTGCTAGCTGTGTTCAAGTAAATATCATCCTCTGAAGCATTAAATATAATTTAATTAAAGCTGTAGCCTCAACATACTTCCACTTTCTTATTTGAAAAAGAAAATATATGGAAACATCAAGTATAGCTTGGGGATTGGATCAAATCTTCAAGTTAAAGTGCTTATAAATGTGGTAAATTGAGTCAGCTGATGAAGTGTTATTACCCAGCTGAGTTAAGGGAATTGACATAACCAGAAATGAAAGTGAAAGAGTTCCAAAATGGAATAAAGTTTTTGATGCCAATGCCAAGTTGACAATGCTCATTCTTTTGGAACTAAATTTACGGGCAGATTATAAAGCAAAAATAGTTTCAAACCCACTAATAGAAGAACAATAAACAACAGGATAAACTACAAGTTTAATACCTAAACAATTACTTTTGTTCTGTTCTGGTAGCCAAACTTTATTCTTTTAAAAAATCATATCTAACTTCTAGTTTAGGTTTTAATTTGATACTCCGCCATTAAAAATGTAATGGTGATGTTGTCAGCATAAGAGAATCTCATGTCAACAGTTCTATTAATTTTTTAACAGTGGGTTATCAAATTGAAACTTAAACTAAACGTTTATGATTTTAAATAAAAATAAAATTTTGGTACCAAACAGAACAAAAGTAATAGTTTAGATACTAAACTTGTAGTTTACCCTAAACAATATGTTAGGTTTAGTCAGCAACCAGCACTTGAAATTCCTCCAAGAAACATCTTCGTTGCAAAACTTTTTCTGGTTATAAATATGAGGCCATTGAGGGGATAACCTTCATCACATACATTCCCACTTCTTAGTTACTTTGTGAGTAAAAGAAGAAGCATTTGTCTTGGAAGGTCTTTTGGCATAATCCCCTGCCCTTAATCATGGATATTAGGTTTTTTCCAGGTGTTAAGGCCAAGATTACAACAATTGCTAAGAGCTTCAAAAAGCTAGGGCAAGATGACCCAAGAAGACTCACTCACTCCTTCAAAGTGGGACTTGCTCTAACTTTGGTATCATTGTTGTACTATGCTAGGCCTCTCTATAATGGTTTTGGGGTGGCTGGAATGTGGGCAGTGCTGACTGTGGTTGTTGTATTCGAATTCACAGTAGGTAAGTTTAAGAACTAAATTGCAGTTGTCGCGATTTCAGTTGCGATTGCGTTTAACGCGATTGCAGACACAGCGGGCGATATTATGGTGATTACAGATATCACGATCATGTAATATCAGTTTCGGATGTCACAACTACCGCTATATATCGGGCACTATTATGATGGCAGACCGCAAATGACAGATCTATGTGTAAGTCAGGGTGGGCACGTGTCCACCTTGAAATCCGAATTTATTTATGTTAGTTCTTGAGAATAATTATGATGCCCACCCTGAAATTTTATTTATTCCTAGTTCATACAAAAAAAATTATATAATTAATATAAATATGACCACCCTTAAAAATATTTCTAGATCTACCATTGCAAACCGCTATTTGAATCGCTGAGTTTAATTTAGTCAAACAATGCCAAATGTTGACAAATCTTTTCCAGTAAAGTGTTTTTATATGGTAAGCTGTATACATATCCAGGTGGAACTCTAAGCAAGTGTTTAAATAGAGGATTTGCAACATTTCTAGCTGGTGGACTTGGAATTGCAGCAGATTACTTTGCAAGTCTCTTTGGAAAGAAAGGAGAACCCATTGTCCTAGGGATCCTTGTTTTTCTACTAGGTAAAAACATTTGTTATTTCGATAACATACCTCTATTTAAATCCATGATTCAAATATAATGAAGCTCAAGCTGATGCAAGTTGATTGATTGTTTTGGCAGCTGCAGCAGCAACATATACAAGATTTTTCCCGAGGATGAAAGCAAGATATGATTATGGAGTTATGATTTTTATACTGACATTCAGCATGGTAGCTGTGTCGGGGTATCGAGTGGATGAACTGGTTGTCCTAGCTCACCAAAGACTATCCACAATTGCATTGGGAGGAGCAACTTGTATGATTATTTCCATTTTTATTTGTCCAGTTTGGGCTGGTGATGATCTTCACAACGAAGTCGCTTCCAACCTTGAAAAGCTCGCTACTTACCTTGAAGGTCCACTACACCTATAGTTTACTTTACATATTATTATTTCTAATAATGGCATTCATCTCTGTCACATAGAATAAAGGCGTGCCTACCTAGTAGCGTTTTTAAAAATTCTTCCTTAAGTGGCAAGTGTCTGGATAACGTCAACGTTGGAGAAGCAAGTCTTCATCTTATATGACATAAATGGATGTTATTTTAAGGATTAAAAATATTTAGGTGCTATTTTAGTAAAAGAAATTTGAAAGGGTATTGTTTTAATAATTTAGCCTATAGTTTAGTTTACACATTATTATTTTGCCAAAGTTTTACATATAGCTTACCACTACATTAATTATCTCAATGTAATCAGTTGCTCGAATTAAATAATTAAAAACAAACTACATGCAGGATTTGGAGATGTATATTTTGTATCGTGCAAAGATGAAGGGAGTGGTGTGGATTCAAAGGATGACAATGGTAATAGCAAATCACTTTCTCAGGGATACAAGAGTATTCTAAACTCAAAGAACAACGAAGAGTCTTTGGTTAGTTCAGCTTCCCTCCACTAAACTTTTCCTTTACATGGATGCCGCCAGTGACTTGGTATGATGGACCAAGAGCAGCGGGAAGGAGCAGTCACCTTAAAAATTTTAAATTAACATATATTTTAAATATTTTTTTTATATTTTCTATTGATAATCAGTTTAACAGGAAAATTTTGCGAGATGGGAACCTGGGCATGGCGGGTTCCAATTTCGTCATCCTTGGAAACACTACTTGAAGATCGGTGCTCATGCTCGACAATGTGCCTATAACATCGAAGTTATTAATATCTGCATTGATTCTGATAACCAAGTAATATATATATACTACTTCAAATCATGATTCAAATGATTATGATTTCAGATTGTATGAAAGATTTAATTACTGTTTGCAGGTATCAGAATATTTCAAAAGAAAAATCGAAGGGCCATATTCAAGAATGAGTGCAGAATGCGGCAAGGCACTAAAAGCATTAGCCACATCCATGAAAACAATGACACATCCTTCCACGGCGAAACTCAATGTCGACAACTCCAAAGCCGCCATGAAAGACCTCAAGTTCGCTCTCGAAGCTGCCTCCATAGAGAATGCGGACTTGCTAGCCATAGTTCCGGCTGCCACGGTCGGTTTGGTCCTGGTCGAGATAGCCAAATGCGTCGAGAAAATTTCAGAAGCAATGCATGAACTTTCGGAACGAGCCCATTTCAGCAAGACTGTGGAACCAACTGTTTCACCGGAGAAACCACAGCAGTTGCTTCACGGGGGAATAGTCCGACCTGTTTCGGAGGATACCGATGATGCGCACAATGGAAATGATGATAATGTTGTTATCACGATACATGAAATATCCAGTGATTCGCCGGAGAATGAGAAGAGTGATGAGCATCGGGTGCCAAGGCCCGGCCAAGTGTAATTTGTTGTTGCTAACATGTGACTGGCTAGCATCTTATTTTATAGGGTAAACTACTTGTTTTATGTCCTAACTATTATTTTTGTTCCGTTTCAGTCATTTAAGTATTATTTTTTCAAAATCATACATAAAATTATGTTTTGGTTTTATTTTGTTTACTTGTCGTTAAAAAATAATAAAAAATTATTGGCGTGATATTTTTTATATCTTTTCAATGATGATATGACATTATCTTATGAATGACATGTCAACATCACCGTTAATATTTTTAATAACGGGTGGCTATAATAAAAATAAAACGTAACATCATATATGATTTTGAAATAAAAAATAGTTGAATGATTAAAACATAACAGAAATGATAGTTGATATACTAAACGTGTAGTTTATCTTATTTTATTTAAGTTTGTAATGTAAGTACCATTTTTCAATATGGGGCAATAGGAACAAATTTAATTTCAAATCCTTAACAGTTTTGTATTAATTCAATCTCCTCCTGAATTGGTAGTTCTTTCTTATGTTGCTTCTTTATATTAGAGCTTTTGTTTAGTTAACTTTTGCAATGCTTTTATTTGAGTTAGATTATTTTTTTAGTCAATGGTTAATGGGATTGTTGTTATCTTTTTAGATTATGAATTCAAACAGTTATATTAGGAAGATGTGTGTGATTTGTCAATGATTAATAAATATTTTAAACAAATATTACTTTATAATTAATTCAAACTATTAATAAAATTATCCTTTTGTGTATTTAGGTGAGAGAAGATTCTATATGGGGCTTCTGCTTTATATTGGCCACCAAATTATTGCTCACTTGGCTACACTGGTTATTGTATAGGTTTTCATGTTCGATAATGAAGACTACGTAGTCGATTAATCAAGGATATTTATGATATTTTACTTTACGTGGTTTTAAATTATATAATATATCTCTACTTAATAAAAAAATATATAATTATGATATCAGCCTGAAATTCAAATTTACTTGGTCTTGGTACAACTCTATTCACCAAAAGCTAATAAAGGTAACACCCAAACATTGCACGAGGGCAACTTGGAATGCCACATTATACCCTTCACTTCACTTCATTGAGTTGCTACTCTCCAACTTCATTTCTCAAGCATTTAGGGCAAAGGAGTTTTAGTCAGTTTATTTTATATGAGAAACACTCTTCATTAAGGCCTTTGCTTTAGACTTTCGATCCATCACTGCCTAGAGAATTTTACGTATTTGTTTTTAATTTGGTTCAAAACAGAGATGGATTGTATAATTTTTTAATAATATTTTATTAATTTTTAATTTTCTAAAAAGTAATTTAGAATGATTTGATATTTTTTATAAGTTCAAGTAAGAAAAAACATTTTTTATAAAAATTATGTATTGAGATTAATTTAAAATTAAATTTTTTTTCATATTTTTTAAAATTTTCTTTTTAAGTTATAGGACAATTCATTGAATATATAAAATTTATAATTCTTTTAAAAATAAATTTACAAAATTTAAGATCAAATTAACATGTATACATACAAAGAGTTGTAATAACCATTTTTTTTGAAAAACAATTATGTTTAAAAATAATTATGACTTTTATTTGAAAAATTGGTATTTTGAATTAATTTGAATTGGAGCCGCCATCGACCTTTGGGCTAGGTAGGTCGAATACCTAAAAACGTCTGTCGTAGCCGTCTTTCGGTTGGGCCCCGGAATTGGGCTTCGACTTGAATAATTGGGTTAGAGACGCCACCGACCACTTTAAAACGAATTTAGGTGGGTCGGACACCATCTTACCTGATCTGCGTTGTACCAGAAACGTGTCGGGTTCGGGAGTCGTTTACGGTTAAGGAAGGGTTAGCACCCTTGAACTGCCCTTTCGGTACCCATTAATTTGTCGATTGTCTTAATTGCGAAAATTAAAAAGTTTAAATTTAAATTTAAAAACCTGATTCAAATTACTTACCTTTGATCGATTGAACTTTGTCTAAAAAAAAGTCGAAAAGATTAGATAAAAAAAACAAATAAATATTAAATAAAAAATGATGAATTTAGGGGAAACAAGATAAAAAAAAGAAATAACAGAAATAAACAAGCGAATAATAATGATAATAACAACAATAATAATAAATGTTAAATAAAACAAAAGCAATATGAAGAAAAAATTAAAAATAATACAAGTAAAAATGATACGTAGATTAATGACCGCAATGAAAATATCCAAAACGTTTAGGCTCAAATCGAAATACCAGAAAGCTGCATTAATGGTCAAAGAGCATGATTATAAAATAATGGGGACTAAACTAGACATTTCCCATTTTTTCTCAAAAAACACGGTGGGTTTTGGGCCAAAACGACGCAGTTTTGGTTAAGCTATTTAAGCCTAAAATCAGGCTTTTCTCACCCCATCTCCCCTCATTTGCTAGATTTCTCTCTCTCTCCTCTGATGATATCTCTCTCCCTTCTCTCTAGACTCGACCAAGGTCCGGTCACCGCCCGGTGACCTCTCTCCACCGCACTGCCACCTCCCCGGCCGCCGCGGCGGCCGGGCGAAACCCAAAACATCCCGAGACACTCACCTTCCCCCCCCCCGAGATTCTAAATCTAAACCCCAAAACATTAAACTCGAGTCGTCCCGGCGTAGATCTAGCAAACAAGGCTCGGCTTTTTACCTTCTTCCGACAGTCTCTTCAACTTCCGGTGACCGTGTTGCTGTTTTTGCTTGGATTTTTTTACTTTGCTTTGCTGTGGGGCTTCGGCCTTTGGGTTTATGTTTCGATTTGGTTTTTCATTGGCTATAGTGGTTCGGTTTTGCTATTGTGGTTCTGTTGGTTTTTTGTTCGATGTGTGGTACGATGGTGGTTCTGGTACGGTGTTGGAACTGTGGTTGGCCGCTCTTGTGGCTTGTTGGCCTGATGGTTCTTGGTTGTTTACTAATGATGGTCGGTGTATCGTTGTTGGTACTGTTTGGGTTCTCTGTATCGATGATCTACTGTGTTGACCGATATTGTGGTCTCAGTTTTTGGCTCTCTGTTTCTGTCCTCCCTCCTGTTCATGGTTCTCTGGGGGTCTTTATATAGCCCCATTAGGGGCTATTTCCGGCTATTTCTGGGGTGATCCCGGATATTCCGGGGTCATTTGTTGTGGACCGTTGTGAGCCTCGTTCTTCGCCGGTCGTTTCGCCGGTTACTCCCTGTTTGACTGACCATGTGCGTGGACTCCACATTTGTCCCATGCGGCGCCACTGCCTAGTGCTCTGTGAGAACCCTAAAGGGTTCAGACTGGTTCAGGCCCACCCAGTCCGGGCCTGCTGGATCAGGCTTGCCCGGTTGGGTTCACTGCTGGACCTTTATTTGAATATGGACTGAAAAAAAAGAAAGAAACAAAAGTAAAAAGAATTAGTAATAAATAAAAATAATAATAATAAGAGTAATGGAAATAATATATATTCTAAAATATATAATATATATATTTCAAAAATTATTTTAAAATATTATATATGTTTTTTTCAAAAAAAATGTTTTTAAAATTATATATTATATAATTTTCCAAAAAATGATTTTTAAAACTATATATTATATCATTTTTCAAAAATATTTAAAAAACTATATACTATATAAGTTTTCAAATTGTTTTAAAAACTATATAATATATAAATGTTTTCAAAATGTTTTCAAAACTATATATTATATATATTTAAAAATATTTTCAAAAATTATATAAAATTTAAAAAAAAACGTTTTCTGAAAATTATATATTATATTTTTTCAAAAACCTTTTCACAACGTATTACTATATACTTATATGTATATATATAATCAAATAAAAATATAAAAAAAATAATAATAACTCCGGGCGAAAATGAGTGTCTACAGCTGCCCCTCTTTGTTCTTTTTCGTGGAACGAAAAATAGGACAAAGATAAAAAGACGCAGATTTTCGTCTGGTGGAGTTGAAGATTAAATAGAATAACTCCCTGTCGAATTGGGTTGCGGATGGCTCCTCCGTCGCGAAGTCGAGTCCATCTTGAAATGATATGGAATTGAAACCGTAATTCGATATTTGAATCGGGATACATCTTCTTGTTGCCCAATTGTAGTCAACCTCGGTCTTCTCCTCGGTTTAAAGACCTTTGTTAAAAATTTGACTGGAAAGTAATTCTTTAATTCAACCGTGTGGTTGGCAGGCCCTCGAGCTGAATGAAATCGAACTCGAAAGGTCTTCGTTGACAGATAGTTTTTCTCGACTTAAGCTACGCTGCCAGAAAACGGTTTCTTGTCACTAAGGCACAGTTAACCCGGGTCTTCTTCTCGACTTGAAAACCTCGATTGCAACCGGACAATAGTGTGATGTGTAATCGAGCTGAATGGAATCAAACTCGACAATTTTATTTACAGATGGCCCTTCTTGCCTTGAGCTTGTAAGCTTGATTTGCCTCTAAGTTGAATATAATCAAACTCGAAGGTCTTTTGGTGACAGATAACCCTTCTAGCCTTGAGTTATGCTGTAAATGATGTGCCCTCAAAGCTGAGTGTAATCGAACTTGGGGGGTCTTTGGCAGATAGCCCTTCTCGAATTAAGCTATGCTGCAAATGATGTGCCGTTGAGCTGAGCGTAGTCGAACTCAAAGGTCTTTTGGTCACAGATAACCCTTCTAGCCTTGAGTTATGCTGTAAATGATGTGCCCTCGAAGCTGAGTGTAATCGAACTCGGGGGTCTTTGGCAGATAGCCCTTCTCGACTTAAGCTATGCTACAAATGATGTGCCTTGGAGCTGAGCGTAGTCGAACTCAAAGGTCTTTGGTTGGCAGATAACCCTTCTCGACTTAAGTTATGCTGCAAATGATGTGCCCTCAAAGCTGAGTGTAATCGAACTCGGGGGTCTTTGGCAGATAGCCCTTCTCGACTTAAGCTATGCTGCAAATGATGTGCCTTGGAGCTGAGCGTAGTCGAACTCGAAGGTCTTTGGTTGGCATATAACCCTTCTCGACTTAAGTTATGCTGCAAATGATATGCCCTCGAAGCCGAGTGTAATCGAACTCGGGGGGGTCTTTGGCAGATAGCCCTTCTCGACTTAGACTATGCTGTAAATAGTTTGTTTAAGAAATGGCTTCCCTTAACGGGTCGAAGCCGGTCATGATTCTTCAGGTGGTTCCTCTAAGCGAGAACCAAGTAAGACAATCTTTGGATGACTCCCATTTTATGGGAAAGCCCGTTGATGAATTCTGACAGCCAAATATCTTCCGTTGTAGAATTGAAATCTGGCTTGAAGACATAAACTGGAAACATGTTGCTCATTATTGAGTTGAGCTGAACTGAATTTGATCTGAATTGGTTCTCGAACCCATCTGAAATTGGTTTTGAGATCTGTAGATATGTAAAGTCGGTTGAGGTGTAGCTTCTTGCTGCTGAGTTACACCATCGTTCTTTAAAGGTGCTTGTGAATCGAGTATCTTTCATCCTGAAGTTGAAACTTGATTCTAAAAGCTGCAAAAAATCATGTATGCCAAAATGACGAATGTGATGCACCTAAGTATGTCTAAGATGCATGCAACATG